TTTTGGGTTTTCACTTTATTTTCTAAAATGAAATTTGAAAGCGAGACCCCTTTATTTGATATAACTACTTGAGCCGGATGAGAGGAAACTTTCATGTCCGGTTTTGAGGGGGGAGATCCTATAGTGGACCCTATCCCAATTTTTCTTTTGCTAGGCCCATAACTAAAAAACCTACTTTCTTACGATTACGAGGTTCATTTGAATATGAAATTCAATCCTGGAAATACAGCATCCCACTTTTTTTTACTACTCAAGGTTTCGATATATTTCGAAATCGAGAAATTTCTACCGGGGCGGGTGCTATCCGAGAACAATTAGCCGATTTAGATTTGCGAATTATTATAGAAAATTCGTTGGTAGAATGGAAACAATTAGGAGAAGAAGGGCCTACGGGGAATGAATGGGAAGATCGAAAAATTGTAAGAAGAAAAGATTTTTTAGTTAGACGTATGGAATTAGCTAAGCATTTTATTCGAACAAATATAGAACCAGAATGGATGGTTTTATGTCTCTTACCGGTTCTTCCTCCCGAGTTGAGACCCATCATTCAGATAGAAGGGGGTAAACTAATGAGTTCAGATATTAATGAACTCTATAGAAGAGTTATCTATCGGAACAATACTCTTACCGATCTATTAACAACAAGTAGATCTACACCGGGGGAATTAGTAATGTGTCAGGAAAAATTGGTACAAGAAGCCGTGGATACACTTCTTGATAATGGAATCCGTGGACAACCCATGAGGGATGGTCATAATAAGGTTTACAAGTCATTTTCAGATGTAATTGAAGGCAAAGAGGGAAGATTTCGCGAGACTCTGCTTGGGAAACGGGTCGATTATTCGGGGCGCTCGGTGATTGTCGTTGGACCTTCACTTTCATTACATCGCTGTGGATTGCCTCGCGAAATAGCAATAGAGCTCTTCCAGACATTTGTAATTCGTGGTTTAATTAGACAACACCTGGCTTCGAACATAGGAGTTGCTAAGAGTCAAATTCGTGAAAAAAAGCCGATTGTCTGGGAAATCCTTCAAGAAGTCATGCAGGGGCATCCCGTATTACTGAATAGAGCACCTACCCTACATAGATTAGGCATACAGTCATTCCAACCAATTTTAGTGGAAGGACGCACTATTTGTTTACATCCATTAGTTTGTAAGGGGTTCAATGCAGACTTTGATGGGGATCAAATGGCTGTTCATGTGCCTTTATCTTTAGAGGCTCAAGCAGAGGCTCGTTTACTTATGTTTTCTCATATGAATCTCTTATCTCCAGCTATTGGAGATCCCATTTCTGTACCGACTCAAGATATGCTTATTGGACTCTATGTATTAACGAGCGGCACTCGTCGAGGTATTTGTGCAAACAGATATAATCCATGTAATCGAAAAAACTATAAAAATGAAAGAATTTACGAAACAAACTATAAGTATACGAAAGAACCCTTTTTTTGCAATTCCTATGATGCAATTGGAGCTTATCGACAGAAAAGAATCAATTTAGATAGTCCTTTGTGGCTTCGGTGGCAATTAGATCAACGCGTTATTGCTTCAAGAGAAGTTCCTATCGAAGTTCACTATGAATCTTTTGGTAACTATCATGAGATTTATGCACACTATCTAATAGTAAGAAGTGTAAAAAAAGAAACTTTTTGTATATATATTCGAACCACAGTTGGTCATATTTCTTTTTATCGAGAAATCGAGGAAGCTATACAAGGTTTTTCTCAAGCCTGTTCATATGATACCTAATAATATGGTATGAAAAAAAGGAATTCTAGGACACCCGTGTGAATTCGGACCTCTCCGATTCAACTCGGACCATAGTTCCTGACCTAAAATTCTACGCAAATCAAGATCGAGAAAAGGAAGTTTTGCAATCATTGACTCAAACTCATTGTCGAATCCCATTCAGCAGAATATGGAGGTACTTATGGCGGAACGGGCCAATCTGGTATTTCACAATAAAGTGATAGATGGAACTGCTATTAAACGACTTATTAGCCGATTAATAGATCACTTCGGGATGGCATATACATCACACATCCTAGATCAAGTAAAGACTCTGGGTTTCCAGCAAGCCACTGCTACATCCATTTCATTAGGAATTGATGATCTTTTAACGATACCTTCTAAGGGCTGGCTTGTCCAAGATGCTGAACAACAAAGTTGGATTTTGGAAAAACACCATCATTATGGGAATGTACATGCGGTAGAAAAATTACGCCAATCTATTGAGATATGGTATGCTACAAGTGAATATTTGCGACAAGAAATGAATCCTAATTTTAGGATGACGGACCCCTTCAATCCAGTCCATATGATGTCTTTTTCGGGAGCTAGGGGAAATGCATCTCAAGTACATCAATTAGTGGGTATGAGAGGATTAATGTCGGATCCCCAAGGACAAATGATTGATTTACCTATTCAAAGCAATTTACGCGAAGGACTGTCTTTAACAGAATATATTATTTCTTGCTATGGAGCCCGTAAAGGAGTTGTAGATACTGCTGTACGCACATCAGATGCTGGATATCTTACGCGTCGACTTGTTGAAGTAGTTCAACATATTGTTGTACGTAGAACAGATTGTGGCACTATCCGAGGGATTTCTGTGAGTCCTCGAAATAAAAATCGGATGATGTCAGAAAGAATTTTTATCCAAACATTAATTGGTCGTGTCTTAGCAGACGATATATATATAGGTTTCCGATGTGTCGCCTTTCGAAATCAAGATCTTGGGATTGGACTTGTCAATCGATTAATAACCTTTGGAACACAATCAATATCTATTCGAACTCCCTTTACTTGTCGGAGTACATCTTGGATCTGTCGATTATGTTATGGTCGGAGTCCCACTCATGGTGACCTAGTTGAATTGGGGGAAGCTGTAGGTATTATCGCGGGTCAATCGATCGGCGAACCGGGGACTCAACTAACATTAAGAACTTTTCATACCGGCGGAGTATTTACAGGAGGTACTGCCGAACATGTACGAGCCCCTTATAATGGAAAAATAAAATTCAATGAGGATTTGGTTCATCCTACACGTACACGTCACGGGCATCCTGCCTTTCTATGTTATATAGACTTGTCTGTAATTATTGAGAGCGAAGATATTATACATAGCGTGACTATTCCACCAAAAAGTTTTCTTTTAGTTCAAAATGATCAATATGTGGAATCAGAACAAGTGATTGCTGAGATTCGCGAGGGAACATACACTTTTCATTTTAAAGAGAGGGTTAGAAAATATATTTATTCTGACTCAGAGGGCGAAATGCACTGGAGTACTGATGTGTCCCATGCACCCGAATTTACATATAGTAATGTCCACCTCTTACCAAAAACAAGTCATTTATGGATATTATCAGGAGGTTCATGTGGATCTAGTGTAATTCTTTTTTCGATCCATAAAGATCAAGATCAAATGAATATACCCTTTCTTTCCGCCGAAAGAAAATCTATTTCTAGCCTCTCAGTGAATAATGATCAAGTGAGCCAAAAATTTTTTAGTTCCGATTTTGCTGATCAAAAAAAATTAGGGATTTCCGATTATTCAGAATTGAATGGAAACTTAGGTACTAGTCATTATAATTTCATATATTCTGCTATTTTTCATGAGAACTCGGATTTATTAGCAAAAAGGCGAAGAAATCGATTTCTCATTCCATTCCAATCGATTCAAGAGCAAGAGAAAGAATTCATACCGCATTCAGGTATCTCGGTTGAAATACCCATAAATGGTATTTTCCGTAGAAATAGTATTTTTGCTTTTTTTGATGATCCTAGATACCGAAGAAAGAGTTCCGGAATTCTTAAATATGGGACTCTAAAGGCGGATTCAATCATCCAAAAAGAGGATATGATTGAGTATCGAGGAGTCCAAAAATTTAAGACAAAATACGAAATGAACGTAGATCGCTTTTTTTTCATTCCTGAGGAAGTGCATATTTTACCCGAATCCTCTGCCATAATGGTACAGAACTATAGTATCATTGGAGTCGATACACGACTCACTTTAAATATAAGAAGCCAAGTCGGCGGGTTGATCCGAGTAGAGAGAAAAAAAAAAAGGATTGAACTCAAAATATTTTCGGGGGATATCCATTTTCCGGACAAGACAGATAAAATATCCCGACACAGTGGCATCTTGATACCGCCAGGAAGAGGAAAAAAAAACTCGAAGGAATCCAAAAAATTTAAAAATTGGATTTATGCCCAACGGATCACACCAACCAAGAAAAAGTTTTTTGTTTTGGTGCGGCCCGTAGCCACCTATGAGATAGCGGACAGTATAAATTTGGCAACACTCTTCCCACAAGATCTCTTTCGGGAAAAGGATAATATTCAACTTCGAGTTTTCAACTATATCCTTTATGGAAATGGCAAACCCACTCGAGGAATTTCTGACACAAGTATTCAATTAGTTCGAACTTGTTTAGTCTTGAATTGGGACCAAGACAACAAAAATTCTTCCCTCGAGGAGGTCCGGGCTTTCTTTGTTGAAGTAAGTACAAAGGGTTTGATTCAAGATTTCATAAGAATTGGCTTAGTGAAATCCCATATTTCATATATAAGAAAAAGGAATAATTCGCCAGATTCGGGATTGATCTCTGCAGATCACATGAATCCGTTTTATTCGATTTCGCCCAAGGCTGGCATTCTTCAACAATCACTTAGACAAAATCACGGAACTATTCGTATGTTCTTAAATCGAAATAAGGAATCCCAATCTTTGTTAATTTTATCATCATCTAATTGTTTTAGAATGGGTCCATTTAATCATGTAAAATATCACAATGTGATAAACAAATCAATAAAAAAAAATACTCTAATTACAATTAAAAATTCGTCGGGCCCCTTAGGAACAGCTACCCAAATTTCAAATTTTTATTCGTTTTTGCCTTTACTAACTTATAATAAGATCTCTTTAATTAAATATTTGCAACTTGATAACTTAAAATATATTTTTCAAGTAATTAACTCTTATTTAATCGATGAAAACGGAAAAATTTTTAATCTCGACCCATACAGTAACGTTGTTTTGAATCCATTCAAATTGAATTGGTATTTTCTTCATCAAAATTATCATCATAATTATTGTGAGGAAACGTCCACAATAATTAGTCTTGGACAATTTTTTTGTGAAAATTTATGTATAGCCAAAAAAGAACCGCACCTAAAATCGGGTCAAGTTTTAATTGTTCAAAGGGATTCTGTAGTAATAAGATCTGCGAAGCCCTATTTGGCTACTCCGGGAGCAAAAGTTCATGGGCATTACAGAGAAATTCTTTACGAAGGGGATACATTAGTTACATTTATATATGAAAAATCGAGATCCGGTGATATAACACAAGGTCTTCCAAAAGTAGAACAAGTTTTAGAAGTCCGCTCGATTGATTCAATATCGCTGAACTTAGAAAAGCGGATTAAGGGTTGGAACAAGTGTATAACAAGAATTCTTGGAATTCCTTGGGGATTCTTGATTGGTGCTGAGCTAACTATAGTGCAAAGTCGTATTTCTTTGGTTAATAAGATTCAAAAGGTTTATCGATCCCAGGGGGTGCAGATTCATAATAGGCATATCGAAATTATTGTACGTCAAATAACATCAAAAGTTTTGGTTTCCGAAGAGGGAATGTCTAATGTTTTTTTACCTGGAGAACTTATTGGATTGTTACGAGCAGAACGAACGGGGCGTGCTTTAGAAGAAGCAATCTGTTATCGAGCCGTTTTATTAGGAATAACTCGAGCATCTTTGAATACTCAAAGTTTTATATCCGAAGCAAGTTTTCAAGAAACTGCTCGAGTTTTAGCAAAAGCCGCTCTTCGGGGTCGTATCGATTGGTTGAAAGGCCTGAAAGAAAATGTTGTTTTAGGGGGGGTGATCCCCGCCGGGACCGGATTCAACAAAGGATTGGTGCATTGTTCACGGCAACATACCAACATTCTTTTGGAAAAAAAAACAAAGAATTTAGCTTTATTCGAGGGAGATATGAGAGATATTTTATTCTACCACAGGGAATTTTGTGACTCTTCTATTTCCAAATCTGACTTTTCTAGGATTTAATGATTTCTAATAGCGGACTATTTTTAATTTTATTTTTTATTTTATTGTTTGCTGTAGTCATTTGTTTTGGTAATTTGTTAACACTAATAAAGATAATAATGAATAAAAAAAAAATGGCTTGGTTCATGCATAAATGGCCATCCCTGGTACAAGAGAAGGTTCCATCGGAACAAAAATTTATTTTAGTTTGGGGTGCCCCCCTTTTTAAGTGTGAAAAGAAATGACAAAAAGATATTGGAACATCGATTTGGAAGAGATGATGAGAGCAGGAGTTCATTTTGGACATGGTACGAGGAAATGGAATCCTAGAATGGCACCTTATATTTCTGCAAAGCGTAAAGGTATTCATATTATAAATCTGACTAGAACTGCTCGTTTTTTATCAGAAGCTTGTGATTTAGTTTTTGATGCAGCAAGTAGGGGAAAACAATTCTTAATTGTTGGGACAAAAAATAAAGCAGCCGATTTAGTGTCGCGGGCTGCAATACGGGCTCGGTGTCATTATGTTAATAAAAAATGGCTCGGCGGCATGTTAACAAATTGGTCCACTACAGAAAAAAGACTTCATAAGTTTAGGGACTTGAGAACTGAACAAAAGACAGAGGGATCAACCGTCTTCCGAAAAGGGATGCAGCTGTGTTGAAGAGACAATTATCTCGCTTGGAAACATATCTAGGCGGGATTAAATATATGACGGGATTGCCTGATATTGTAATCATCCTCGATCAGCAAGAAGAATATACGGCTCTTAGAGAATGTATCACTTTGGGAATTCCAACCATTTCTTTAATCGATACAAATTGTAATCCCGATCTCGCGGATATTTCTATTCCAGCAAATGATGACGCTATAGCTTCAATTCGATTCATTCTTAACAAATTAGTATTCGCAATTTGTGAGGGTCGTTCTAGCTATATACAAAATTCTTGATTAATAATAAGATAAATAAATCAATTTTTTTTGAGGGAGGGGCTCCCTGTATTTCGATTTAAAAAATCGGTTACTACTCCTGAATTGTACAAAAGAAAAAGAGAGAAAAAACTGGGGATATTGTGTGATTTGTTTAGTTGGGATCCAAAACTAAAATATAAAATTGAAGTCAATAAGTAAAAAAAAAAGGGGGGGTCTTGAATCAAAATAATTTAAAGTTCTTATTTCTGTCAGAGGGCAATATGAATGTTTTATCATGTTCCATCAACACACTAATAAAAGAAGGGTTATATGAGATATCTGGTGTAGAAGTAGGCCAACATTTCTATTGGCAAATAGGGGGTTTCCAGGTCCATGCCCAAGTTCTTATTACTTCTTGGGTTGTAATTGCTATCTTATTAGGTTCCGCAGTTCTAACGATTCGCAATCCACAAACCATTCCAACTGACGGCCAAAATTTCTTTGAATTTGTCCTTGAATTCATTCGAGACGTGAGTAAAACCCAGATTGGAGAAGAATATGGTCCATGGGTTCCCTTTATTGGAACCCTGTTTTTATTTATTTTTGTTTCTAACTGGTCAGGAGCCCTTTTACCGTGGAAAATTATCCAGTTACCTCAAGGGGAGTTAGCAGCACCAACGAATGATATAAATACGACGGTTGCTTTAGCTTTACTCACATCAGTAGCCTATTTTTATGCGGGGCTTAGCAAAAAAGGATTAGGGTATTTTAGTAAATACATTCAACCAACCCCAATTCTTTTACCCATTAACATCTTAGAAGATTTTACAAAACCTCTATCACTTAGTTTTCGACTTTTCGGAAATATATTAGCCGATGAATTAGTCGTTGTTGTTCTTGTTTCTTTAGTACCTTTAGTGGTTCCTATACCTGTTATGTTCCTTGGATTATTTACAAGCGGGATTCAAGCTCTCATTTTTGCCACTTTAGCTGCGGCTTATATAGGTGAGTCTATGGAAGGTCATCATTAACGGTTTTTTTCAAATATTCTTTTTTAGGTTAGCCCAATTAATTATAGAATAGTTGGTTTACGTTATGTAAGAAACACTTGTATATGTGATATTTGATATTGCCTAGGTATATATGAGTTAAAGATCTATATAATCTGAATCTGCTCTACTACTTTTGTGAATTTCTATTTCTATTTAGATAGGGATTCGATTAGAAGTTCTTCCTTTTTATCTGTGAATTGGCTGAAAAAATGATAAAAAAAGAACGAAGAATTCAAAAAATGGTTCATAAAAAATAAATGGCATAAACATAAAAAAGTCGTATATATATATATTATGGATATGGATTTTTAAAAATCCCGTGGATAGGAACTACTATCAAAGTAATTCTTATGATTCAATAATTTTATTATATTATTTCAATTAAAGTTTTTGGTTTTTTTGGCTGGATGAATCTTAGCGATTACTTAATTATAATTCCGTCCTAAGTCATTGAATGATTGTATCATTAACTATTTCTTTATTTTGGTGTGAGGAACTTATCATGAATCCACTGGTTTCTGCTGCTTCGGTTATTGCTGCTGGGTTGGCTGTTGGGCTTGCTTCTATTGGACCTGGAGTTGGTCAAGGTACAGCTGCGGGTCAAGCTGTCGAAGGTATCGCGAGACAACCTGAGGCAGAAGGAAAAATACGAGGTACTTTATTGCTTAGTTTGGCTTTTATGGAAGCTTTAACAATTTATGGCTTGGTTGTAGCATTAGCGCTTTTATTTGCGAATCCTTTTGTTTAATCCCAGAAATCACAAAATTCTGGATTTTTTTTTTTTTTAGTTTTTTTAATTCTATCAAGATTTAACTCCTACAATTATTCATTAAGACAACAATCCTTGGGAAGGACTAATTTGAGGATGGGGAATTAGCACATCGATTCGCTTTCTTCCTTCCCCTTATTCTTTTAGTTTAATAGAAACTTTTTTTTAAGGAGTGTTGCGAAAAAAGGAGGTTTAGGTTTTTTGAACTTGACATAAAACTTAGTCTCAAATTCTAGCTTAATTCTAATAAGTCTCATTATTATTATTGAAAATTAAAAATTTTGGAAAATACGTTTGTAAATAGAATAGGTTTTTTATTCTGTTTACAAATATCCAAATAGGTAAATTAAATTATTAAATTCAAATTTCTTTTTATTTTCAATAAAAAGAATAAAAAAAAAAGGACAGAGTTCTTTTTTTATAGTTTAGCTAGAAGAGGAGATTATATGAAAAATTTAACCGATTCTTTCGTTTACTTGGGCCACTGGCCATCCGCCGGGAGTTTCGGATTTAATACCGATATTTTAGCAACAAATCCAATAAATCTAAGTGTAGTTTTCGGTGTATTGATCTTTTTTGGAAAGGGAGTGTGTGTGAGTTGTTCGTTTCAAGAATAGGCTGGATTCACCCAGTGGCACTATAACTAGGAAAGAGTGCATAATCCCGCGAATTACTTCTGAATAAAAAAATCATATTTTAGAACCATAGCATTTCGTTATTCTTTGGTAAGTCCGCTTTACTTTGATTCTCTATCAACCAAAAATGGGGACAATTAATTAACATGGTTAAAGCTAAACCGTTTGAAGTTCAGATGCAACATGGTACTCTTTCTACTAAATGTAGTCTAATAAAAAATAAAAAAATGAATAAAATTAAAAAAAAGAATTGTTAGACTTTTTTCGATATAAAACACTCATGTCGATAAAAATTTTTGAGTCTTTTTTTATAATGCAGAATTGATAACCTACGTATAAAGTAATAAGAATTCTTTGGATTTCAAGAAAAAAAGAAACAACTTTGCTGACAATTAGTAATTTTTCATTGGTCAGAAGAATCCTCCGAATATTTTTATCTTGGATTGGTGATCTTTTTCGCTTTTTCGATAGAAATATATATTGAAATTGAATATGAATTGAATAAAAAAACTCGGGAGAGGGTAGGCTCATTGCATGAAAAAGATGGGAATGGAAGTCTCATAAATAATTGATAAATGATT